AGTATAAATGACTTAGTGCCACCCATCTAGCAGAACATATCTTCCTCCCACTGTTCTAGCAGAGTTTTCTCTAAGCAGTTGGAGTGGGAGGATATGGCTCTGTCCTCACTGATCCTTATTAATCAAAACTGAGAACAGTAAATTTGTTTCCATTCATTGTTATCTTCACCTCCCTCCCTGCTTCCAACACCACTCAAAGGCAACACGGGCCAAGTTCACAAACAGTGTTCTGACAGGTGGTTCCACACAGGTCACATAATTCAGATTGAATGAGTCATGATCCTGAAAGCCCACAGTGAGAACATGTCAGCTCACTAAGTGTACTCTAAAGGCAAATTCATGTGATTCTGTAGCTTAGCAGAAAGAATAAAGTGCCTCAATCTTAAAAAAAAAAAAAATGAATGAGTGAATGACAGTAGGATTTTCAAAGAGTCAATATAGATACTCTTTAGAAGCATCTTGCAATGACCCTGAGAATAAAACAAGCCATAGCTACTAGGGAATATGGATCAAAGGGAAGATTTTTTATTTAAAATGGAGATATTCTAGCATATTTTATGTTTAAGAGGATACTTCAATAGAGAATAATAACTTGGTGTCTCCTGGGAAACAGGCCTGGATTTCTGAAGTTGAACAGATGAGGAGTAGCTACTGTTCCCTACCAGGTAGACCACTCTTGGAATCAGAGGGAAGGTTCTAGAGAAGGTAGACAGAAATGCAAGATTCAAGCATGGTAGAATTTGGTGGTAAAAGGGTATGGTAGTTCTGTCAATAGGGTTTATTTTTCTCAGTGAAATAAGTAGGTCATTTAATTAATAGGACAAGGAATATTAGAAGTTCAAGTGGGGAGAATGAAACTGTTGTCATAAAGACTGGGAAAGTGACTCCACTGGGAAGCCTTGGAAGATGGCAGGACTGATACAAGAGCTTTGCCCATTTGAGGCTTGAGATTAGTCAGGTATCTGTTTCCCTCCACCATGTACTTTTCTTGTTCTTCACAAAATGTTAAGCATTCTTAATACCTCATTGTACAGACAAAGAAACTAAAACAGTGAAGTGATGTACTCTGCCCATGTTTACACAGGATGGAGAAAGTGGCTATTCCTGCCACCCTGGCCCCCAGCACTGAGGTACAGCAGTTCAGGTCTCCCCAAGTCAGCAGGCTTCAGGAGGCATCAGAGCACAGAGCAGAGGGAAAGAGCTTTGAAATCCCAGCTACTTGTCTATTTCCCACAGCTCAGTAGTTCCACTTGGTCACTTTTGTATGTACTTCATAATTTAAATTAAGACAAGGAACTCACTGCAGCATATTTTTTAAAACAAAAAAAAACCCATTTATATTTAAAATAATGATGTCTTATTTCTCTGCCTTTATTGGGAAGGAGAAAAATGTTCCTTAATAAACATCCCGAAACAGGATTTTATAACCTTTCTGTGGCAATATTTCCTAAAATGTTTTCTGAAGGTATAATATAACATGTCTCAAAAAGATTATACTTTGAGGCTGTAATACAGCACTATAATACTATGGAAAATATTATGACATTCTCCCTTCACTTGAGATTCTTAGAATTTTTAATAGCCCTACATGGTGTTAATATACTTTTGACTATGCATGAAATGTTTCCAGAACATTGCTAATGATTTAGCTGCCTTCTTCCACATACTAAACAATTAATGTTCAGTTTAAATTCCAGCAACTGCCTTCTTTCTTCCTGTTCCCAATTCATTGCTATAACTTTAAAAGAACTAGAAAATAATGCATGAGCTTACGTATAGGAGTTATGAAGCAGCCAGAGATTAAAAAAGAAATAAATATGCTTTTAGTAACCCCCAAATAAAATTATCTGTTAAATCTCCTAACTTGATGACTGATGCTTCCAGAAGTCTGATCTGGGTATTTGTATAATAGATTAACCACATTAAACAAATGTTACCTGGTTGAAGACCATAAATGTCTTACTTTTAAGAAACTGCAAAGAATGATTTATAAAATTGAAAACCTTCTTTCTCCTAATCCAGGTTAGTCCATGTTCTCCTGCCCAGTTCAGCAGGATCAAGACAGTGTGTATAAAGACATAGAAGTCTGTGGGAGATGGGCTTTATGACCTTTGACACCTTCTCCTGACTCCCATTGTCCCCCATAGTGGCTCTATCATTTTATAGGCTCAGAGTTGCTGAAGAAAAAGTCCCTTGAAGTAAATCACAACTAAGAGTTTAGAGGAAGAATTTACCTGACAAGAGACACTCGGTTCTCTTTACAGTACCATTGCATGGAAGTAGAATGTGACCTGTCTGTATATTTTTTTTCTATTAGCCACAATTTTTAAAGTAAAAAGAAACAGGTAAGATTTATTTTAGTAATATAATTTATTCTGCCAATGTTTCTTGCATATAAAAACCCCTGAAGGGCTGGGGTTGTGGCTCAGTGGCAAAGTGCTTGCATTGCACATATGAGGCACTGGGTTCCATTCTCAGCACCACATAAAAATAAATAAACAAAATAAAGATATTGTGTCCATGTATAACTAAAACAATTTTTAAAAGCATTTTTAATAAGATAGTTCACATTCTTTTTTCATATTAAGCCCATCTCAGTCAAGCCAAGCCATGATTCAAGCCCAGATTTTAAAATTACTGGACATGTGACAGAGTCACTCCTTTGGGCAGAGTTATTCTCAAACTTCAAATGTACTTCTTTTTGATAGGATAAAATTGTGTCTTGGATTTGATTCTGATTGATACTACCACTGATGATACATTTTTGTTAGTTAACTGTTTAAATATCACACTCTTCCTTTTTCAAAGAGTTTCTCATGAATTGTCTTGTCTTTGTGATTCTGCATAAGCTTCACTCTTGTTACATTTCTTAATATCACCAGTCTTTATTTTTATTGTGGATCAAAGGCTAGCCTTCCAGCTCTCTCCACCTATCTGAGCTTCACACTTCATCCACAGAGTGGTATTTTTCTGTTGTTTTGTTGTTGTTGTTGTTTGTTGATTGTTTTTATTTATTTTGTTTGTTTGTTTGAGACAGGATCTTACCACATTGCAGCGGCTGGCCTTGAACTTGCAATCTTCCTGTCGTGGCCTCCCCAGTAGCTGGGATTACAGGCATGCACCACTGCACCCAGCCACAGAGTAGAATTTCTAAAAAGTAATTAATCATTGCCCAACTACTTAAGGATTATAGAAAAAATATGAAGCCCTTCATGATTTGACCTCTTTCTACCTTGTTTCCTTTCCTTCCACCTTCACTTTTTATACTTCATTCTAAAATTTGCAGATTTCATGAGTTCTCTGAATACAATATGCAGTTTTAGACGTCATACCTTAAAACATGTTGTTCCTTCTACCTGAAATTATCTTTCCCCTTCACCTACCAGGTGAATTACTGCTCACAGCTGAACCTCAACTTTTAGTCCAGTACATTCTGAATAAATTTATTGGCCTGACACTAGCTGCTTAATAGAGTGTATTTTCTTATCCTGTGTCACCATCTTTGTGTCCTGTGACACAAAACACAGGATCTGACAGTAAAATACATGAGACTTTTTATTGTCAATTTAACCTAAATGTAATAAGATCTTTAAATAGATTCATTAATTATTAACAGAAAAAAAATGCTAAAATGAAACAATAAGCATTCCTCTTCTTTTTTAATATTAAAATATTGTAGAATTCTGTTTTCACTGTTTTTAATATCAAGACTGAAAGGCTGTCAGTATTTTTATTCTATTTTAATATGCCTCATGTATGACTCATGTCCCCTCAATCAACCTACCCACAATACAACTGAAAGTAAGTACTTGATGGAAATAGTTTAAAACACAAACAAAATTCTTTTATTAGAAGAGCTAACATGTCTCAAAAACCCTACTTCACATTCTGGCAAGTTTTGATAAAATTACACTCACTCTATGCCATTTATCTCAAGATATAAACCAAGATTTTAACAAAATATCAAAATAAAGTATTCAGCTTATTCCACACAAATATTCTAGTTTAATATTCATATGAAACAAACAGAAATAAAATTTTCTGATAACAAGAATCATCTTTCCTGAGATAGCACAGTTACTTGCTGTATAAACAATTACTATCAGACTTAAAGAGTCTCTTTTGTTTTAAGCATTAGGTACCAGCATTAGGTCAAGGATATTTCTTGAGGCTTGTAAAAAATCTAGTTTTACAGCTTCCCAGGAGATCCAACATCTCTTGAGAAGAAAGAAATAACATAATGTAATCAAAAGAAGCTCTTCTTCCCTCTGTCCAGATGTCCCAGTCAATAAAAATGGATCCTAGGAAATTCCACTAATTCTGGAACACTGTCCATAAAAGACAGGGGTGGAGCTCCACATCCCCCTTCCTGTTTCTTGTGGTCCTCTTGGAGTAGAAAAATAAAAGCCAATTGAGAGTATTTATGGGGGTAGGGGGAAGAACAATAAAAGAGGGGAATTGGATGTAAGAATAGAGGCAGGAAGAAAAGAAAAATGGATAGCTAATAGCACTCCTCAATTAGAATCCATCTAGTACACACTAGTCCTTGAATTGCTTTGGCTCATGTAAAGGTTCAGGACTAGAGAAGCACAGTTTGTTCCAAGTCGTGAGTTTCTTTCTAAGTCATATCCAGTGTTTGCATGCCAGATTGTGTTTACCAAGCACCTGAGCAAATATGTTGACTGCCAGTGATCTTTTCTGTTTTCTAAAATAGAGTTTCTCAACACAGAGCTTTGCTTTTTAAGTAAATCTTCATTACGCAGAAAGGGTATGTGAGTGAAAGGGTTCTATGCAGGATCTAAAAAACATTGCACTTCCTTTGTTATGGTTTTGAAATTCCCCTTTGAGTCACTTAGTTGCTCAATGCTGAAGGGCACTTAAGTATAATTACTGTGATAGTAAACAGACTATCCAGCCAGATGCATCGGCAAAATACAGCCTTCCTTTTATAACTACATGTACAGGTTTATTTTAATTGTTTGATTTGGGTTTTTCCACAGCTATTAATATCACTCAGCCCAGCTTCAGTGGCACGGATGCCTTTGGATACACTTCATTCCTGGCTTATTCACGGGTTTCAGACATCAGCTTCAGTTATGAATTCCACTTGAAGTTTCAGCTGGCAAACAACCACTCAGCACTGCAAAACAATTTGATATTTTATACTGGACAAAAAGGCCATGGTAAGATTAAGTGACCTCTGTAGGACTTGCCTCTCTCCTTGGAGAATACTTTAAATATTCTTCAGGGACACTCTCATTGGCCATGGATGAAGACATTTGCCTAGCTGCAGCCTCCTCCTGTTTTCTAGCATGTTCCTTATAGTCTGAAGCATTCAGTGGTTCTCTGACCCTTTCTGAATTCCTGGTTCACACTAGAGCCAAACATGAAGACCGAGGCAGTGACCAAATCACAGGGGAAGTAAGTTTATTGACTTGTTCTTTTCTCTGTTTCTATTTCCATATATGAGGAGAAAGAAGGGAAGTTCTCAGAAAGAACATGGCTTTACAGCATGTTGTGAAAAGAGAATGGGTTGAATATCCTCAGAGAAAACCTTTACAAATGAAAGGGACAAGAAATTAAGAAAGCACTTGACCTGTCACAAAGTATTCCAGTGCCTTACCATTGGTGGGAAATCAACTTAGAAGTTAAATTTGTCTTTCTTAAGTAGAAAACAGTTTTACATGTGTTAGGTCAAGGAAATTCACATTTGTTTTATTTTCAAATCTGCAACTAAGAGTAAAGCAATTAATCATTTACCTTCTCAGATGTTTTCATCTGTGAAATCAGCATATTATACAAAAAAAAAAAAAGAACTTTCAACCATTAGTGCTTCTATTTTACTAGGGAAAATAATACAGTCTGATTTTGATTCGTTTTTAACTCACCATCTCCTGATACCAAATATGCTTTTCTGGATTAGCACATGTTTGAAAAGAGCCAAATTCTCAGTGTAGGTTATCAGCTCCCACCACATCTGAGGACGCAGAACACTTTCCCAATGTTATCCTGAACCCTAATGAGCCCTCTTAACTGGTTTCCTGCCTGCGGTGCGTTCTCTACATTGTAGTAGGAATTACCTCCTAAAAAGTTTATGAGATTATGTTGGAATCCTGTTTAAAACACACCTGTGGCATTTCACTATACTTAGAATAAAATCCAAGACTCCCTACCATATTCTCAAAGGGCCTTTAGGAGCAGACCCTGGTCTGGTTCTCAGAATATACCAGGCCACTTGCATCATCTCTCTGCTCCCCACTACATGTCCTCTTCCTGCACCTTGACCATCTAATGCCTTCCTGCCTTAGAGGCTTCCTGCCAGCTATTTGCTCTGTCTTGACAGTGGGCTCCACAGCCTGGCAGTGCAAACCTGTATCCAGTCTCCACCACTTATAAATTATGTCAATTGGTTTGATGTCCTAGTGCCTCAATTTTCTGACCTGCTACTCAGGTAAAATAAAATTAATTCCCTAATAGAACTGAGAAGATTATGGGCTGGAGTTGTGGCTCAGTGGTAGAATGCTCGCCTAGCATGTGCAAGGCCCTGGGTTCCATCCTCAGCACCACATATAAATAAAGGTATTCTGCACAACTACAACTAAAAAAAAAATAAATAAACATTTTTTAAAAATTGAGAAGATTAGCAGATTCATACATGAGAAGCACTTAAAATAACATTGGACACAAAAGACACAGCAGCTTGACTTTTCTCTGGAAGGTTTTCTCCACCCATCTTACAAAATAGTCCTTATCCTACAAGTCAAAGTTATTTCCTATTTCCTACCTCAGCTTTTTACTTGTTTCTTTCATAAATCTCATCTCAATTTGTATTTCTTTTGTTATTTTTTATATAGTTGTTTCTTATCTTCACTACCAGAAGGGGAGTTCCATATAAATAGAGACTAAGTCAGTCTTACACAACTTCATATCCCCACACTTCAGCACAATACCTGAAACATAATTCATATTGAACAAAAGAATCAAAGAAACACAATAAGAACAAATAAAATTGAATGATATATAAGCCAACAACACAGTTGCACAAAGGCTCCCAAAGAAAAGCCATTCTTGGGGGCTTCCAGTTCAAATGACATGTCCTCCATTAGGATTTCCTGAATGGCTATGGTCCTCTCACCCCTCTGGTGAAGCCTTCCTTCTTCTGAACATAGTTTGTCCTGTATTTAGTGCATGAACCCTTTGTAACAGGCTACAAAGTTATAAATTTCTTTCCTCATTTATACAAAATGTATCCCAGCTAGGACTGTATCACCCACAAAGACTCTTTGGTGCAATTTTAACAAGTATCTATTTAATGATTGTCAGGAGACAGGAAGAAGAGAAGAGAAAGAAAGAATTCCTACCTTTAACCCTTTTACTCTACACGCCCTTCATTCTATATGTATCAGCAGTATCCTTCCTAGTAGCTAAAAACTATCAAATAAAAAATTCAAATAAGCATCAAAGACTCTGGGGATGCCTTATTCTAAAACAGATCTCCTAAATCCTTAAGGATACTCAGAGGGGGAACCCAAGCAAAGGATTAAACACTTGGCCGATGAAAATACTGCCACCAGATAAATATTTTGGCATCTTCAGCTAAAGACTCCTTCAAAGTTTTCAAAATAAAGCAAAAATCTGCATTTTATGGGTTTAGAGCAGGGTTAAGTAAAGACTACATAATAAGCAGACACAGTGAACTTCCATTTTCTAATCAGTAAAAATGAGAAATCTAAGGCACACAGTTCCACATCGTACCACCTGAGGGCACAAGAACACCACGAAGAAGAAATGCAGGCTGCAGAGAGCTTTGTAAGACAGTGTTCCTCCAAGTAGGACCTC